TGCCAATAATGCCGCAGGGAGGCAGGGGCTGCAGCTGCAGCTCCTGCTCGAGCTGGCGTGGGAACAGGCCAGAAATAGCCTGTTCCGAAACCCAGTTTTCGTGCCTGAATCTTAGGGCAGGTTGAAACAAATGAAGTCCTAAAAATAGCCCAGGGCCTAAGAATAGCCCTCCGTTTCAGGCTGGAAAAACTCTGGGTCTGAAAGACCCATAAATAGGCTGAAACGGAGTAGGGCCTGCAGGCCCTCGTTTTTCAGTTTTCAGGCTGAAACGACCGGGGCCTGTAGATCCTAAGTTTTAGGCTTTTAGGCTGAATGTCCGGGATGGGTCCTACAGGGCCCGTGTGGCTATGCAGTATGCCACACTACTCCTCACTTATGGTGGGATTGTCCAGCCTCGAGACGAATTTGGGAGCGGTGGTCGGTGCACTGGAGGGACTTTTCGGAATGGAATTGGGAATGGGACCGATTTTGGGTCCTAACAGGGATTCTGCCAGATAATGTCCAACCCACAGAAGGATGTGGCTATGTAGCTCAGGCAAGCAGGGCCATTATCTGCTCAGTAATTTGGGATAACAGGAATAGGGCGGTGTTCCAGCAGAAAGGTACTTCGGATACAGAGATAAAGTCGAATATCTGTGCAAGATTAAGATACTATATTAAAGCAGATTGGAATATTAGGAATAGGGAGTCTTTGTCGTCAGGAAAAGGCCTTGGATGGTTTCTCAGAACATGGGGCTGGGGTAAGAACTCCAACTGGCTTGTCACAGTGGGTTCAGATGGGAAGTTGGAATTTTGTTCTTGGTTGAAGCAAAAACGATAGTTAATACCAGGACACTCGGTATCAAATAGCCGCAGGAGGCTGGCAGAGTTTAAGTGGGTAGAATCTCTTCCTTCCCCCCCTCTTTTCCTCCTCCTCCTCCCCTTGGATGGGGACTAGTATATCTGTTTAGCTCTTTGGTTAGTGGATGGAGTGTCATATTAACTGTTGGATGCCTTTCCTCAGGTCGTGTTAGACCTACTTGGAGAGAGTGATGAAGTTTGCCTTTTCTTTTCATCTTTCCTACTCCCCCCTCTATTTCTCCTTCATTGCAGTCTGTAGTTGGTAGTGTTGTTTGTTTGTTGTAGTTGAAGAGCAGAGGGCTCGATCGAATGGTGACAGTATAGCTAGCGTAGCCTAAGCTGCATACTGATTGGTAAACTTAAGCTAGGCATAAGCCTAGTGCCTTGGTACCTCGGGGTTGTTTGTTGAGGATTCCCGGCCTCAAAGTTCTGTTTACTTTGATAATGGATTCTCAATTTCTCAGCCTTTTCCCAAAAAATAAAAAAAAATAAAATAAAAAAAAATTGAGGAGCTGTCAGGGAAAGGGTTTCGACACCTCCTCTCGAGACAGGCTCGTTTCCCAGTCCTCCAATGGGATGTCGAATTCTTGCCCGAATGTCGAAAAAGAGAACGCACCAACGCTTGTCCTATCTTCACCCCAGTTTGTCTCTTTTGTGCATACTACTCTTGACTTCTTCACTTGGACATGCGGTGTGGCCAAGAGGGGTTTTCTGTCGAAAGAGGGAATGTCCAAAATCTCCTGACATTTGTCGAATTTCGTGATGTTTCGACATTGCTGTGGCGAGGCCGTAAATCGCACACGAGAAGTCCCACATGCAAGCACCGGCCCAGGACAAAAATATCACTGTCTGAAAAGAAAATAAAAAATAATAAAATAAAAATCCCGACCACATATGTATATACAGCAGATGGCCTTGTTCCTCATCAAGATGTCAGAGGGCCTTTGTCCTGACACAGGCCGGGGAACAACCGAAGAGGAACAAAAAAAAAAAAAAAAAAAAAAAAAAAAAAAAAAAAAAAAA